GGAGTAAGTTCTAGTGTTCAACAACATAGTAGGGTGATAACAGCTAACAAAAATTTATAGTATATTTCAAAATAGCTAGAAGAGAAGATTTGAGATGTTCCCAACACAAAGAAATGGTCAAATGTTTGAGGTAATGGATATCCCAATTACCCTAATTTGATCATTACACATTGTATACATGTATCAGAAAAAACCACATGTACCCCATAAATATGTAAAACTATTATATATCGATAAAAAAGAATTGTAAAATGAAAAAAAGAATGATATCCTAGTATATATGAGAATTTATTATATAACAAATTTCTTATTTTAGTAGGGAAAGAATGGATTTTTCAGAATAAATGGTAATGATACAACTAGTTATTCATCTAAATTTTCAAAGGATATATCATCTCAGGGTAAAGAAAATAAATGTCCAAAGTAGGTCTGAAATGCAATAAGTAATAGTAAAGCAAAGAAAACAGTAAATATGTAGGTAAATCTAAACAATGATTAAATATAAAAAATAGTTACCAATGTCTAAATATCAAGTAAACAAAAAAGATACAATTAAAACCTAAATCAATCAAATCATATAAGTAGGAAGAGGTTATCCAGGTAAAGTGATCTAAGAAGGTAGAGACACTAATTAATTTTAAACTTTAAATTAAATATGACATATCAATCCATTCCTAGATATGTAGAAGCTCTTACACATAAGCACTCAGAGACATGTACAGAAATATTTATACTAGTATTTTTCTTAATTAAACAAAACACCAGAAAACAGTCTAAATGTTTATTATCAGTACAATGAATAAATAAATTATGGAATGGAATATTCTACAGCAGTGAAAATAAAGGAACTATAGCTACAAACATCAATATAGATAAATCTCAAAAATATTGTTCAGGTAGTCACCTTCTGGGATGACAATGTGAGGAGTTCTAAGAACCCACTCCACAGTGAAATTAGGGAAAATTATTTTTTTAATGCTTATAAAGTATCTAGAAATTATTCTAAGGACATACAGAGAATGATCAAACATCTAGCCAAGAAAATCTACTAAAATTTGGTAAGAACAGTGCAAGTCTGGTATTTGGAGAAAGACGATGGCTTCTCTTCCCGCTGCCAGTTCAGTGAGGTGGAAACTCCACACCAAACTGGCACTACTAAGAAGACGGGGTTCTCTCTCCCCCAGGCTTCCAGTTGGAGAGCTATGTTCCTGGAAGGGCAAGATGCCAAGGTTTCTCCTCTTGCCCTCAGGAACAGTTTAAGTTCCTGGCAAGTGCAACTGAGAATTGGGGGATCCTTTTTCCACCCAGGCCTCACTTATGAGCCAGAGGTTCTACCTTGGGCACAGTAACACCGAGAACACAGGGGCCCCTCTAGTCCTTGCCCCAACTTATAAGGTTAGTGGTTCCATGCCAAGAGAGACAAGCCAAAATGATGTGAGGCTGCTACTCCTCTCCATCAAGCACTCAGCTCAAGTGGGGGTGTCAGAGAGAAATGCACCATTGTACTCATTCCCAGCTGCAGAGATATGGCTCAGAGATTTTGCCTGAGGAGAGAAACAAGGCTTAATACAGAAAACTCCTAATCTCTTCCCAAAGGGACTGATTTCATTTGCTTGAAGTTCGAGTCTAACAGTGCTCTCAAAGACAACGGAGCTTATGGTAAAAGGCTTTGGGAGGAGATCAGTAGATTCATTAGATATATGGGCTAAACTGTAGGTTGACTAGTTTGCAGGAGAGAACTGGGGAAAGAGAAAGCTGGGAGGAGTTTTCCTGGGGTCAAATTTCCAATGCTGACTTCAGAACTGTCCCTTAATTGCATTAGTTTGTAGAGCAATTTATGCCCCAGGGCATTATTGAAAATAACAGTGTAATCAGCCAACAATTAGTGGACCTTAACAGCTGGGTAGCCCTGTGAAAGGGATAGTCAAAGAGAGCCAAGCAAAAATCACTGTCATCCCACGATGATTGTGTGCAGGTCCAAGGCTGTGCCCTGGGGAGCAAAATCAAATCTCAACAATGCAGGAAGAAATACACTGCAGTAAAAATAATCCAGCCAGTCACTAACCAAGTAAATAAGCAAATAAAAATAACAAGCTCTACTGGGAAGACAGAAACAATATCTAAAATTGCTATAATATATTATCTAAAATGGCCAATTTTCAACAAAAACTTATGAGACAAGCAAAGAAAAAGGAAAGTACAATCCATACACCCAAAAAAGCAGGCAACAGAAACTTAAATGAGAGCCACTGGATATTAGATTTAATAGACAGAGACTTCAAAGTAGTCATTATAAACATGTTCAAAGAACTAAAGGAAACCATGATTCAAAAAATAAAGGACAGCATGATGACAATGTTGCATCAAATAGAAAATATCAAATAAAGAGAAATTATTAAGAAAAAAACTAAATGAAAATTACACAGTTAAAAAGAAATCCACACATTTATGGTCAAATGACTTCTGACAAAGGCCCCAAGAACACACATGCGGAAAGGACAATCTCTTCAATAAATAGTGTTGCCAGGAGGCTGAGTTAGGAGGATTGCTTGAGCGCACGAGTTTGAGGGTACAGTCAGCTATGATCACCCTACTGCACTCCAGCCTGGACAACAGAGTAAGAACTCATCTCTTGAAAAGAGTTGGGAAAATGGGATATCCACATGCAGAAGAATGAAATTGGACCTTTATCTCACTATATACATAAAAATCAACTCAAAATGGATTAAAGACTTAAACATATGACCTAAAACTGTAAAACTTCTAGAAGAAAACTGGGGGAAAACTCCACAGGGCAATGATTTTTTGGATATGATTACAAAATCATAGGCAACAAAAGCAAAAATAGACAAATAGGATTACATCAAACTAAAAAGGTTCTGTGTAGCAAAGGAAACAATCAACAGAATGAAGAGACAACCTATGGAATGGGAGGAAATATTTGCAAACCATATATCTAATTAGGGGTTAATGTCCAAAATACCTAAGGAATTCAAACAACTCAATGGCAAGAAAACAAATAACCCAATTAAAGAATGAGCAAAGGACCAAAATAGATACTTCTCAAAAGAAGACATACATATGACCAACAGATATATGAAAAAATGCTCAATATCACTGACCATCAGGGAAATGCGAATTAAAACCACAATGAGATATCATCTCACACCTGTTAGATCAAAAAGATGAAAGATAGTAAGTGTTGGTGAGGATGTGGAGAAAAGGGAACCCTTTTACACTGTTGGTGGGAATGTAAATTAGTACAGTCATTATGGAAAACACTATAGAGGTTCATAAAAAAAATAAAAATAGAACAACCACATGATCCAGCAATCCTACTATTGGGTATATATCCAAAGGAAATAAAATCAGTATGTTGAAGAGGTATCTGCATTCCCATGTTCATTGCAGCATTATTCATAATAGCCAAGATATGGGTCAACATACATGTCCATCAGCAGATGAGTGGATAAAGAAAACGTGGCATATATACATAGTGAGATACTATTCAGCCTTACGAAAGAAGGAAATCCTGTCATTTGCAACAGCATGGATGAACCCAGAGAACATTATGCTAAGTGAAATAAGCCAGGACCAGAAAGACAAATATTAATACTACACAATCTTCCTTATATGTGGAATCTAAAAAAGTCAAACTCACAGAAGTAGACAGTGGAATGGTGATTGCCAGGGCCTGGGGGTGGAGTTGGGTGGATAGGAAGATGTTGGTCAAAGGGTACAAAGTTTCAGTTAGACAGAATGAATAAGTTCTGGAGATCTATGTACAGCACGGTGACTATAGTAAATAACAATGTATTGTATACTTGAAAATTGCTAAGAGAGTAGACCTAAAATATTCTCACAACAAAAATGATAAGTAATGTAAGGTGATAAATATGATAAATATGCTAACTGGCTTGATTTAACCACTTCACAATATATAAAATATTTGAAATATCATGTTCACTGTAAATATATACAATTTTTATTTGTCAACTATACCTCAATGAGAAAAATTTTAAATTAAAAAAATGTGGTATATATATATATGTATGTGTGTGTGTGTGTGTGTGTGTGTGTGTGTGTATGGTGGAATAATATGCATCCTTTAAAAGGAAGGAAATTCAGACACATGCTACAACATGGATGAACTTTGAAGACATTAAGCTAAGCAAAATGAGCCAGTCATAAAAGGACAAATACTGTATGATTTCACTCATATGATGTACCTAGAGTAGTCAAATTCATACAGACACAAAGTAAAATACTTGTTGCCATGGGCAGTAGGGGAAAGGAGAATGGGGAGCTATTGTTTAATGTGTATGGAGTTTCAGTTTAGGAAGATAAAAAAGTTCTGAAGATGGACGCTGGTAATGGTTGTACAACAATATGAATGTACTTAATGCCACTGAACTTAAAAATGGGCCCATAAATCCCACGCATGGGAATATATCCCATATAAATATATATTATGTCATATGAATATGTAGCACTGCAGCACTGTTCCTTAGAAACAAAGTGAATGTGTACCAATAGAGCAATGGCTGAATAAACCATGGGCTATTCATAGCATAGAATACTATACAGCCAATATAGTGCACCAAAGCAAAGCATTTGACTTGGAGTGGTTTCAGTGAAGTTTTTCTGCATGGTAAATGCAAGATCCAGAAAAATCTGGTATACCATTTTGTAAAGAAATGACAAAACCTATTGTGTATGTGTGTGTGTGTGTGTGTGTGTGTGTGTGTATGTATAAAATGCATGAATATGGATATATATGGGTGGGTATATATACA